TTCAGTACATGTACATGTACATGTAACACTCCATAATGGACCTATACCATTATTACGTCACTGTTTACCTGTTCTAAAGAACATTCTAGAACAGTCAATTAAAGAATAAAGATCATTTCAAAGTTTTCAAAGTCAGGTATGTTTGATTTTTGCTGCGTCTAGTTTTGTTAACACAGCATTACATGCCGTAATGGGTGATTTAGTTTTGACATTAGAAGAAAGTAGTACTGTTAGTATAAAGACCTTATGTTAAGGCTAAAGCTACGCACCCCTGTACAATGTAAACGTCAATTGACCGACATTCATTGCGGTAAACAAACTGTGACGTAATAATGTTATAGGTCCATTCATTGAGTCTGAGTTGTCTTTGAGTATAACTTACTTGGATGGCTAACCTTCTTCAACGTAATGTGTAATCTCTAAGCAGATCCTGCAGTGACAAGCCTACACCACTACGAAACTCATCAACCCTTAGCCTGCCAAGTTAGCCATTTAACATTAAACCTTGGTAGAACTTAAAACACATGTATTGTGCAACCAGGGGTTATTGAGTCAAGGTACAAAATGATCTCACAACCACCACAGTTCAGGCTACATTGAAAGAGCCATTGTCACCTGTGAAATTTGACACTGCATGACCTTAAGGGGAGCATTCTTGCTGAAAGGTGCATTCATACAGGTGTAATGGATCCTGCATAAGTAATCAGTAAGGGGGTCTTTCGTTGGTCCAGAAAATATTTGTATAAAGATCATTTATTTCAAAACACAACTCTTTAGGTGGAATCTTTGATGCATTTTGGGAATATGCAACAGTTGACTTTGATTATAAAAGGGTTACCATGAAACACTGCAGCCAAAACCAACAAGAGACACTCAGGACACCACACGTTCACAACAAAAGTGACCAATCACAGAGGCTGTATTAACAAGTGTTAGTGTCCACATACACTTTGACCTGAAGCCAAATAGAGACGCCGCCATGTTTGAGGCAGACAGTCAAGGAAACAGTTCTTTTTCTGGATGAAAGGTAAGAAGCTGTCAGTTTATCAGCTGATGATGTTAGCATGTCACTGCATAAATGTCAGGTTTTATTGGAAAGTTTTATTGCAAATTCATGCCCGAAGGCTAATTGCATGAACAGAAGAAACATTTGTATAAAAACAGGTAATAAGTACACATATAACTACTGATAACTATTAAGAGACTACTAGTAGAAAAAACTACGGGGTTTGACTTCTTTTTTGAAGACAGAGGAAGACAAAGGATCCCACTTTTTCTATAATTTGTGGGTTTTCGGATGTTAAGAGGAGAGTAGTTTTCTTTTCATTTGTATATGCGTGAAAGTTTGGGTAGGATTTGGAGACTAAGTCAAAGAGTTCATTTCGTTCATTGCTATAGAGGGTACAATTTGATATAAAATGCGTTTCGTCTTCCACCGTATTCAACGTACAATGTTTGCAAATTCGTTCATTCACTTGGAGCTTCTTATACCGCCCTCTCTCAATTTCGAGAGGGTGTGCGCTAATTCGTAATTTACATATTGCAGAGCGAATGTTAAAATCGATTAAATCCAGGTATTTTTCCATAGAATATGCTGTTTTACATTTTTTGTAGAACCTTAGCTTACCAGAATCAACATTTAACTTATGGGAAATAGTTTGTACATACATATCAGAAATTCTTAACCTTAACATGGTGCATATAGATTTGATATCACAAGAAGTGTTACATGAATGGAATAAGTAAGAATAGCCACTAGAATCTAATATTTCTTTCACACGCTGTAGTAATGTTCTTCTCTGACAATGCGCATTTTGTTGAAACAGAAGAGCGTCAGCTTGCAGCGGATGCCTATTACAATCCATTTGTACAAGTCGGAGCCAATATTTTATAACACGCAGTGAAATATCTATATCTAATGGCAGTCTGCCCAATTCAGCTCTAGATGCTAAATTACTACTATTTCTAAAAACCCCTAATATGTTCTTACAGTAACGCAGGTGAGTAGTTTCAACTGGTGAATTGTCATTTATGGCTTCTGTGCCCCAAATTTCGCATCCGTACAGAAGAATTGGCTTAATACAAGTATCAAATATTCTCAGTAGACACGTTTGGGGAGACAGAGGAACGGGTAAGAGATTTTAAGCTGTACATGGCTTTACGTGCCTTAAATGACAGTTGTTTTTTAGCCAGGGAGAAGCTGCCTGATGCTGTTATGGTCAGACCTAGATAACAGTAGGAAGAGACTATGTCTATCATGTCTTTTCCAAAAGAGAATGTTTGTTTAGGGAATGACCGACCGGATTTGTTAAATATCATAACTTTCGTTTTCTTTAGGTTGACTTGAAGTCTCCACTTCTTGCAAAAGTCATCTAGCTTATTGAGAGCGCATTGTAATCCTTTGTCGGTTTCAGAAAATATAACAATATCATCTGCATACAGCAGACATGACACGAATAGATTTTGCAGTGAGGGTGGAGAACAATCATCATTATCGAGCACATTTACAAGGTCATTGATGAACAGATTAAATAAAGTAGGGCTTAGGTTACAGCCCTGTCTAACGCCTTTCTTTGTTACAAAATGCGGAGTTAAGCCTGAGGAGGTTTTGACACAGGTCTGTGGTTTTGAATACATACATTTTACAAGTTTATAAAAATTTCTCCCTACTCCTGAATTTAGCAGTTTATAAAGGAGGCCCTCTCTCCAAACACAGTCAAATGCCTTTTTAAAATCAATAAAGCAGGAATATAGGCGTTTATTTCCTGCGAAATATTTACTTAGAAGAGTATCTATGATAAATATGTTATCGCATGTACTAAAATTTTGTCTAAAACCGGCCTGATTTGGGGAAATAAGTTGATTTTCATCAAGAAATTTGGTTAGGCGGGTATTGAGAATAGATGTAAACAATTTTCCGAGACAGCTTGTTACGGAGACTCCTCTGTAATTACTGGGGTCGTCTTTTGCTCCGCCTTTATGAATAGGCACTATGTGGCTTGAGCACCAATCCTCCGGGAAGTATCCAGAAGATAAAACGAGATTAAAAAGTTTTGTCAGTGGATCTAAAAGGACGTGGGGGGCGCATTTTATCATTTCGTTACGAACTAAATCACTTCCTGAGGCTTTTCCGTTTTTGAGTTTAGAGATAGCTTGTTTAATTTCCTCTTTCGTAATAGGAGTATCCAATGAGTTGTTCTGTACATTTTGTTCTAGTTTTAAAAGTTCATTTTGTATATGTGTTTGAAAACTGTTAGGTAAGTTTTGGGCGTTGGTGTTGGAGTCTTCACCATAAAGATGATTAAAATGGGAGTGTATGCTTTCGTCAGAGATTATTTCATGATTTTGTACTTTATTATTGGAATTGTACTCTTTTAGTAGGGACCAAAAGGCAGAAGGGTTCTTGTCGGAGGATGAGTTTAACTCTTTTAGGATACCGTCTTTGTATTCTCTTTTGGTTTTCCTTACCAGCCTCGTATATTGCTTTTTCTTTATAAAGTATGATCCTCTAACATGTGGATTGTTTGGATTTTTGGATAACAGTTTAGCTAGATTTTGAAGTTCCCGTTTTGCGGACACGCAGGTCTGACTAAACCATTTTTTCTTGCTTACTTGCTTGGTGCATTTTTTACTTGCACTACCATTAGTGCGGCGTAATGACAAACACTTTTTACCAGCCTCCTGTAGTGGAGTCACAAAGTCATGTAAAGCAAGCTCTAATGATTCCGGCGTCAGATCATAGCTTTTGTGGACAAAGGAATTAATACTAGAGGAAAAGGATGCTGAGTTGAGTATTTCGTTAAATTTCTCTTTGGAGTCAGTGCTCCAGACAAATCTATAATAGGGTCTTGTGGGCTGTTTGGCTTGTTTTTGTTGATATGGTTTAGAGTTACCTTCCAGCATTAAGGATAATTTGCAGTGGTCAGATAGGGGAGATAATGGGTGTACATGGAAAAAGGTTGATTTGCGAAGGAGAATGCCTTCGCTTGCCAGGACATAGTCAACTACACTAGACCCCTTAGGTTGGTAGCACGTGGGTTTACCCAGAAGATCTCCTGGGGTTCTTCCGTTTAGGATTCTAACTTTGGAATTGATACAGAGATCAATAAGATTTTTTCCATAAACAGTGGGGTGACATTTGTCCATGTTATTTCTAGGGAAGGGATGATCAAAATTGTAATCAGTAGGGAGAGTTTGGGAATCTAACGGGGCGTCATCGGTTATGAAATCAGGGAGGTCAGCTACACGCGCGTTGAAGTCCCCTCCAATCAAAATATCTCCCGACGCACTAAACTGTGAAATTTCCTCCTCTAGTACATCAAATATGTCATACGATCGGTTAGTGTGGATTGTTGAGCCTTGTGGGCTTATATATACTGATGCAAGATATATGTCTCTGTCATGATTAAATAATTGTTTATCTATCTTTACCCATAGGATATCTTCACATTTACTATTAAGTTTACAAACAAGGTTTTTATATTGTTTTCTAAACATAAAAATAATTCCTCCGGAGTTACGTTTAGCTTTTCTAGACTTAGTTCTAGAGCTGCTAAAGTAGAGAAAATCAGGAATGGTCAACTCACCGCTGTGCCAGGTCTCTGATAATGAAAAGAAGTCAAACCCATCTAATTCACGAATAAAATCACTATCCTCTAACTTGTTTCCGAGTCCATGAATGTTCCAGAAACCTAATGTAATGCTACGCTTGCTACTTCTACTATTTATTAAACCAACATCTTGATTTTTGGAGGAAAAGTTGTCATGTACACACATGAAGACTTTTGTTCAGTAAGTTTGAAAATCAACAGTTAGTTTCACTTCCAGGTACTATGCAAATTGTTTGGCCACCCTCTGTCTGTAAATGTTCTGCTTTTGCTGTTAACATTCATGATTTGCCTACCATTAAACATTGTAAGGTGAAATATGTTGTTTTTGTTTTTTCAGAAGAATTTGATGTAAGATGTAAAACTGAGTGGCAAGAGGCCCAGTTGGGAAAAGTGTTTCCAACATGTCTACAGAAGGTGAGTTCATTTCAGTACTGTCCATACATGTAGTCTTTAAGACTCTTAGTTGTACATAGTTAAGTCTAAGTTGGACATGTAGATAATGTTAGCCTGAGACATGGTCGAAGACTGTTGGTTTGGAAGCCCACATCACATGGGCTTCATGTAATACTGAAGCCATACAACTTATAATCCCCCCCCCAGCAGGCCCGCACATACTTGTAACCATGATGCAGTCATACAGCAATTTCAGTTTATATATTTGACCAGCAACTACACTCAGATTGAATAAAAACCTGTTTTTCAGGCAGTGCTGGGCATACAAAGTACAAAATAACAGACTGTATGTATGTACAGTTTTACAAAAAAAAATTATACGCAATAACATACAACAAAAGGAAGTTTTGAGCTTCACTGCAATTGCGCTATTGTGGTATAAATAGTCACACATGATAAAGACTCACAAAATTCACAAAATTCAAAGGTTTTTATCAATGTACATCAAGCTCAGGATCATCGTGGTCTTTTTCTTGCAAAATTTGTTTGCTGTAAAACATGTTTGTCAGCATGCGCAAATGTTGACAGCTAGTATGGCATTGAAGTGCACAGTATGTCCTTCCTTTCTCCAATTATATACACTTTAAAATAGTAAAATAGTATCTCTGTTGCTGTGGTGATGTATGATGCAATAAGAGGCTAAAGAAGAAAGCTTGTAGGAAAGGACATAAAATATTTCATCCTGTTTGACACCATCAGAACCCAGGCCTAGGGCAGTTTTGCTGGTCATCGACAAGTACGCCACATCTGTGAACCGGGAGGTGGCACAGGTCCTGACAGGGGCGGGGAGGAAAGTTTACTGCACAGTTCTGCAGGCTACAGAAGAGGACAGGAAAGCTGCTGAGGCTGATGGAGTGGAGCTCATCCTCCCAACCTGCAGTAAGGAAGACGAAAGAGAACCGTGTCTGAAGTGGCTGACCTTTGACCACCCCAGCCGCTATCCCAGACTCCCAGAGGATGTTGGGTACATTGTGGGTCATGCCGGGGTCTCCAGCAAAGCAGCAGCAGCCATTCAGGAGCAGCGCTTCCCCCAAGCAAGCCTCGGTCTTGTCATCGGGACAATACCAGAGGACACTGACAAGTACAAGGATGATGAGGAGGCCATGGGCATTGGGAGGAAGGAAGACTCCATCAGAGAGGATGCAGAGAAGGCAGACATTGTGTTCTCTGTGGGACATAGCATATATAAGCACTTCCAAAACTCATTCCGTGCAATTCCTGAAGACAATAAACCAATCCACTACCTCTTCTTGCCCGAACCAGCCAAGATATTCCAGGAACTTACAGTTAAGTACGTGGAAAGCAGTGTGAAAGTTGTCCTGTCCATCGGTGGGGTCAACAAGGTAGAGAGGCTAAAAGGTTATGACCTTACAGCCAAGTCCTTGGTAAGGGTGGCAGAAACAAATCAGGAGAAGTTCCTTTGGCGGATTTGTGATACAAGTGAGGAGGAGTTTCAGGCCACTATGTCCATTCTCCAAGCCAGCATAGACTCAGGAAAACTGAACCCCACAATTCTCCCACACTGCACTCAGGAAGACATCTGCCGACACATGCAGCAGGCCCACCTGGTTCTCATGCCCTCCCGTGCAGAACCCTTCGGACTGGTCGGTCTGGAGGCCATGGCAGCCGGTGTGCCAGTCCTCATATCTGACCAATCAGGACTGGCGACTTTGGTTGAGGAGGTCATCCCTGAATTCTATCACTCTGTACTGGAAATAGAGGGTGATGATTCTGTAGATGTCGGGCGTTGGGCAAGTCAGATTGGGAAAGTCCTAAGGAAGTCCAAAGTAGAGTTCAAGAGGGCTGCAGCTCTGAAAGAGAAGCTACTGGAGTCCAGGTACTGGGAGGAGTCTCATCAGCATTTACTTCAAGCATGTGGAGGTGCAGGTAAGAAGACTGGAATGTATCAACATAACAAAGGTTATATCACAATGCTAAGTTTTTGGTATTGTAGTCCTGCATCTTCAACTGTTTTACTTAGTAGTTTCTCTAGAACTTTGTGTGTTACTTCTAGTCTCTTTTCCAAGAAACAAACAAACAAACACACACAAACAATCTGTCTTGTCCTTTTGTAGAGTCAATTGCTAATGATCTCCCCTTGCAGTACTAAACCATTTCTAATGAGCTTCTTTTACCTGCTCCTGTAGCTGAGAGGGTGAAGACAAGAACTCGACTGTCATCAGATGTGGCGCATGCCAGGCTGGCTGCTGGGAATCCTGGTGAGTCGTATCACTATCAATGCCTGGCTGGCTGTATCTGTTACTATCTTACGTAGGAATGGTCCAGGTGCAAAAGTTAGCTGAGGAATGATTCTACATTCTACTCATATTGTCCAACCCGATGTTAGTGATCTTCCCAGGCACCTACTGGCATCAGCCATAAGAACTGTTGGGAAGATGCTTTGATTTATACCATGCTTAGCAGCAATTGAAGAATGTAAAATACTATTTGAATTTTTGGATTAGAATACTGTGATGGTGCTATTCTGATACTATTCTTCTCACATTAAAAATTCTTCATCATCTCTATTCAGGAAAGCCCCTATAACTTATAAGCTTGATTTTTAATAATTGAAGCCATACAGGCTTTTATTATTAAAAAATTTTTTTTTTGAATAAAATGAAAATTATTGTAGTGGTTACGTATACTTATATTGTATTTAGCAATGATCATTTAGAAAAAAATTTCAGTACTGATACTCCTGTATCCAGAATCAGGTACAGGTACAGGTCCGGACTTGGACCTCATCCTCTGGACCTGGACCTGAAAGAGCCAAACAGGTACCCACCCCTAGCCATACACTTATGTATTCTCATTGATGATTTAATAGATGTTCAATGCACTGTCTTTGTCCAGTTCCAAACCTTCCTGTGTACCTCTACCTTGGCTTGGAACATTTGGCATTGCAACAACCACCTACAGGGGTGCAACAACCACCTACAAGGGTGCAACAACCACCAACAGGGGTGCAACAACCACCTACAGGGGTGCAACAACCACCAACAGGGGTGCAACAACCACCTACAGGGGTGCAACAACCACCTACAGGGGTGCAACAACCACCTGCTGGGGTGCAACAACCACCTGCTGGGGTGCAACAACCACCTACAGGGGTGCAACAACCACCTGCTGGGGTGCAGGCCTGGGACACCAACTTCAGGAAACAAATCTTGGAACGAATCTTGGAACTGGAGCGTACAGTGTTTACTCAAGAAATTGTAGAGAATCCTGTACGTTACAAACAGATGCAAGAAGTCTTCCTGCCACATGCAGCTTTCTTAATGAAGCTTGGGACTCATTGCATCATCCTTTTCCTGATGTTCTTACATCAGTCTGATTTGGACAGGTTCTACCACAACCACTACAGGGTGGGGGAGGGAACCCTGTCTCAACAACTCTCACACATCCTCATCTCAGACGACCTACAGAATAAGGTCAAGGGCGCCCAGCTGATCGTGAGGCTCCAGGTGAAGCATGAAGACTATGTGCGAGTACGGGACAGACTGGGGCAAGGTGAGAACCTATGTTCTATTGGTATGGTTCATTTCAAAGGAGTTACATACATTTTAAAAAATTATCAATCAATCTCAACAAATTCTGTTGAGACAGTAAAAGTTTGCTATAGTCTAAAATATCTGATACTTCAGTTCTAATTTCATGTTTCTTAATAATCAGGGCTGGACCGTACCACTTCTGTTGACAACCTGCTGGCCCTGCCACCCCCCAGCAGACATGTGGACCATTCCAGCCTGAGAGGCCTAGACTTAGCCGTGATTGGCCAAGACGACCAAGACCTGGTTGTGATTGGTCCAGAGAGCCAGCCCTGTACAGATGGAACTGATGGCATCACCATGCTGTACAGACAAGTACAGTCAGCCGTGCGAACAGCTAAAGAGAAATCCAAAGTTCAGCTTGAGACGATGCAAGGGCAGGTGCAGATAGGTGAGCTTGGAGTAGATGCCATGAGGAAGGAGGAAAAGATGCTGAGAGAGGAAAAGGAGAAATCCGAGAAAATTCTCCTGGAACAGAAGGCAAAAACAACTCAGCTTCAGGAGACCAACAAGAGCCTGGAGGCCAGGATAGCGGAGCCACTGACTGCACATCGTTTAAGGCATATAAGTCTCACTTCGGGAGAAGTCCTATATTCTAAAGTAACAGGGGTGAAGAAAGTCAGCTTTGGGGGAATGGGATCAGCTAGGGGGAAATTTGTACATCCTTGCGGAGTAGCTGTCTCAAAAGATAACGAGGTTTACATTGCTGATTGTGGGAACAGCAGAATCCAGGTGTTCACAATGGATGGTGTTTATATCAGAGAGTTCACAACAACTCTGCCAGGGGAAACTGGGGAAAAGTTACAACCATGGAATGTTGCTGTAGATAGAAATGACAACCTGTGGGTGGTGAGTGGTAAACATGTAGTGCAGTATTCCAGGGAAGGCACCTGTTTGGCCACAATAGATTTGCCACATGGTAAATACCTCCGTGGCATAACTGTATCTATGGCAACAGAACAGGTGATTGTTACAGTGTATGGTCAACTTCTAGTATTTAACCAAGATGGTTCTGAGGTGGGGACGTATGGTTCAGGTCATATGTCACCAAAGCCTTGGAAGCCACGTTATGTCACTGTCGATGGGGAGGGGAACATTCAGGTCACTGATAACAACAATGGCTGTGTCCATGTCTTGGATAAAGAGGGGAACTTCAAGTTCAAGTTTGAGAGTTGGGGAACTGATGAAAGTCAGTTTAGAGATCCTCAGGGCATTTGTGTGGATGGGAAGGGAAATATCATTGTGGCTGACGGTGGAAATTCTTGTGTGAAAATGTTTGACAGTCAGGGCAGATTTCTGTATTACATTTTATATGGTATGACACCCATGGGTGTTGCTGTGTCACCAGGTGGAGATGTGGTGGTGACTGATATTCACAATGACACTGTATCAGTCTGGACACAGGGTTAGTGCTGCACCATAGCAATCACAGCACAGAAGTTCAGAGACCTCATACCCCAGTGAAATGTTGTAGAACTTTTGTACATTTTTTTTTGTTTTCAATTGTTTGATACTATTAGATTACTAGTATATGGAAATAAGGTTGTAATCAAGGTAAGGTTGTGTGTTCTGTAATACAATGGAATTATTTAAAATTTCCTCATTAATTATGCAAATTAAGTCCTTTTTCGCACTGCATTGTGTATACATCTCTCAAATACAATTAAAATTAATTTATACCAAATAATGACTGAAAGCCAGCAGATTTAATGATGAATATGATAAATCTTGCATAATTGTTAACATCCCAGTCCCAATATTAGTAACATATCGTATTCACATCCATTCATTTTAATTCTAAACATAACCTTTTTGGCGAAGGTACATGTAACTACATTTACTACAACGTATAATTTTGAAGGATACACTATGAGCTTCTCAGAATCACTTTGTGCGACTTTCCTTAATGTGTGCCTCCCCAAGTTTTTCAAATAGAAGTGAAAATCAAAGTAGTCGTAGGTCTACTTTTATGACCACAGCCATTCTATTTTTACTGTATCTACTTGAAGTGGAGGATGCTATGATGGAGAAGAGACAGGTTGCGCTGCCAGGGCTGGAAATACTGGGTGCATGTTCACCTTAGTGCACCCTAATTTGGAGATCGGGACAGACTGGGGCAAGGTGAGAACCTATGTTCTATTGGTATGGTTCATTTCAAAGGAGTTACATACATTTTTAAAAATTATCAATCAATCTCAACAAATTCTGTTGAGACAGTAAAAGTTTGCTATAGTCTAAAATATCTGATACTTCAGTTCTAATTTCATGTTTCTTAATAATCAGGGCTGGACTGTACTTAATCAGGGCTGGACCGTATCTTCCCACTTTAATATCGTGACTGACTTTCTGGAAAAAAAAGAAATCTTATCAAAATTCAAATGTCTGCATGCAAACTGAATAAATGTAGTCTGCAAGTTACACAGTTTATCAATACAGGTTTGTGGCCATTCATGTAACTGAGAATCTCTTCCATTACGCAACAAAATTTCTTCCTATAAACGTAATGATTTAACCAATAGATGGTTTAAAATCTTGTAACGTAAATCTCGGTTTAAAACTTTTAAACCTCCATGATTTTAACATATATACACTTAAACAGTTACCAACAAAGTTTTTGTTAAATCATGGAGGTAAAAGACACTGATCATGAGTCTCTAACTCCATGGTTAAATCAAGGAAGTTTAAACAAAATTGTTGGTTACAAAACAATTTTTTAAACCGAGATTTAAAGACTATAAATTTAAAAGTATTATGCAGCATGGCCACAGCCCCCTCCCCATATATTAAAATAAAGTTTCATTCATTCATATACGCTGTAACCAAGGGCATTATACATCTGTGCATAATGTCCTAACGCTGTAACGTAAGAAATATCTCACACATGCCTCTTTATTTATCTCCGGGAAATTCACCATCGTCATTTTAACGGCATTTCACTAGCAGGAGACCGTAAAATTCAGATATGGAAGAGTTTTAGACCAGTTTAACCAAACCGCCATATTACAAAACCGCAATATATATGGCATGGCCACACTTAGAACGTATGATAGCATCACATCAACGCGAAAGTTTATTTCTTGTCAAATAATTATCAAACATATGAAGTGACAATTCTGTAATAAAGAGTAATATTAATGTACAATTTTGCGGTGTACTTGATATTATAAAGTGGTCAGTTGATCCGTTTATATTGTTGTATACTGTACATTAAATTTTGCGTTTGGATGCGCTGTTCCGAGGAGGTCACTATAGGTCACTGACCGCCGTTGACCCCATGAGGGAGGTATCGCAGGTCGTTATTTACGGCGGTCAGCCACGGTGAAGAGCCACGCTGCCATTGGTCAGCTATATAGGATGGTTCAGTGCGGTGTAGAATGGTGCCATTCTATTGGTTGACATAGTTGAACGACGGAAACACTGTAGTTTCACCCGTAGGTGACCTCGGCGATTTGTGCTGTCGGTTTTCCGGCTTTTAGCCAGCGATACCTCGAAAGACCAGCGATACCTCCTTGTACAAGTAATATATGTACGGATGTTAGGTCTGGGGACAAGGTAAGACACTGTACAGGTTCGGCTCTTAGGTGTAGGGACAAGGAAAGAGCAGATTAAAGTTGTCCAAGCCGGGTAGGAGCTCTGCTCTAGTTTCGGCCGCTCTTCATGCTTCAGTTGACTGTAACGTTACATGAAATGTATGCACGCACGTCTCCTCTTAGGTCTACGAACCTGGTAAGGCACCATACAGGTAATATATGCACGCCTCTTAGATCTAGGGACCAGGTAAGGCACCGTGCAGGTAATATATGCATCTAGGGACCAAGTAAGGCACCGTACAGGTAATATATATGCATCTAGGAACCAGGTAAGGCACCGTACAGGTAATATATGCACGTCTCTTAGTTCTGCGGGCCAGGTAAGGCACTGTACAGGTAATATGTGCGTCTAGGATTCAGGTAAGGCACCGTACAGGTAATATATGCACGTCTCTTAGGTCTAGGGACCAGGTAAGGCACCGTACAGGTAATATATGCACGTCTCTTAGGTCTAGGGACCAGGTAAGGCACCGTACAGGTGATCTGAGCATCTAGGAACCAGGTAAGGCACCGTACAGGTAATATATGCACGTCTCTTAGGTCTAGGGGCCAGGTAAGGCACCGTACAGGTAATATATGCACGTCTCTTAGGTCTATGAACCAGGTAAGGCACCGTACAGGTAATATATGCACGTCTCTTAGGTCTAGGGACCAGGTAAGGCACCGTACAGGTAATATATGCACGTCTCTTAGGTCTACGGGCCAGGTAAGGCACTGTACAGGTGATATATGCACGTCTCTTAGGTCTACGGGCCAGGTAAGGCACCGTACAGGTAATATATGCGCGGCTCTTAGGTCTACGGGCCAGGTAAGGCACCGAACAGGTAATATATGCGCGGCTCTTAGGTCTGCGGGCCAGGTAGGGCACCGTACAGGTAATCTGAGCATCTAGGAACCAGGTAAGGCACCGTACAGGTAATATATACATAGCTCTTAAGTCTAGGGACCAGGTAAGGCACCATTTAGGTGATATTTGTGTAGTCTTTTTATGTAGACACCATACAGGTGATATTTGTTTGGTCGTTTTATATGAGGAGGAGGTTAGACACCATAACATTAGTAATTTATGTGGCCCTGTTATGTTATGTAGCAACTAGGTAAGTCACTGCACAAGTAATATTTGTGTTACTCTTAGTCTTTGCGACCTTTGATTATTTGGTGTTTGGACATTTTCATATATGTATGTTGATGGCTTACAACATTTTCTTTCTTTTTTTTCTAGCGTATTGCTTGTTGAATATCTTAAATGCCAGAGAAGATTGGATACCCCATTTAGGTGTGATGAAGGATCCAAGGAGACGAAGAAGAAGAGAAGCTGGTTCGAAGTACGGCTTTAGTAGGGTTGGGCTTAGTTCATAACAACAACATGAATG